CTTTCCCTCAGGCTGGGGTCACTTCATGGCCAGAAGCACCTTGCAAGTGGACAGTGGGCAGATGCTGCCCTCTAGTGGTGGCCAAGAGAGTGCTGGCTCTGCCTCTTTGGCTTCTTGGGCTCAGAGATCTCCTGGGCAAGTTTTCCAAGCCACAGTAGAAGAAGCTGGTGAAGCTTTGAAAGTCTGCATAATGTATTTCATGTAGGGGAGCTAACAATCAATGCATGCAGTCTAAATGGTTTGTCTATATGCCCCGTCTTTCCTCTCTTCCTTCTTGTCAGTTTTATGAGATCCCCCAGGTAACATTTGCTAGATAATGGAGGAAGTCAGGGAGTTTCAGAAAAACATCTATTTCTGTTTTATTTTTATTTTTTATTGACTTGAGAAACTGCAAGTCGCCTCTGGTGTGAGAGAATTGGCCGTCTGCAAGGACGTTGCTCAGGGGATGCCCAGATGTTTTGATGTTTTACCATCCTTGTGGGAGGCTTCTCTCATGTCCCGCATGAGGAGCTGGAGCTGATAGAGGGAGCTCATCCGCGCTCTGCCTGGATTCGAATCTGTGACCTGTCGGTCTTCAGTTCTGCCGGGACAGGGGTTTAACCCACTGCGCCACCGGGAGCTCCGGTGAGACTACTAGCTATGTCCGCCGTGCATTGCTGTGGCCAACCTTCCGTCCCTCTTTCTCTCCTTCCTTTTTTTCTTTCCTCCTCTCCTTCCTTCCTTCAAACTACAAGAAAGGAGATTCCATCTGAACATGAGGAAGAACTTCCTGACTGTGAGAGCCATTCAGCAGTGGAACTCTCTGCCCCGGAGTGTGGTAGAGGCTCCTTCTTTGGAAGCTTTTAAACAGAGGCTGGATGGCCATCTGTCAGGGGTGATTTGAATGCAATATTCCTGCTTCTTGGCAGGGGGTTGGACTGGATGGTCCATGAGGTCTCTTCCAACTCTTTGATTCTATGATTCTATTATTCTCCTCCTCTTCCTTCCTCCCCTCACTTTTATTTCCTTCCTCTTTCTCCCCTTTCTTCCTTCTCAACCTATTCCTGGACTGCAACTCCCAGCAGTCCTCCTGATCAATCTACCTACCTATCTATGTCTATCTAATCTATCTATCTTCTTTGTCTGGAGGATTGCTGGGAATTGCAGTCCAGGAATAGGAAATGGGAACTATGCAGGGATTGGGATGCTCTCAAAGAAATCAAAGGAGAAGAAAGCTTGCATCTTGAAAGCAGTGCATTTGGATCCTCCTCCTCTCCTAAAGAGCCTGGTCTAGAGGATGCTGGGAACTGTAGTCCGGAAGAGAGTATGGATATACTATTGTGTATGGGGGTTTTCTTCTTTTGTTTTTTGTTTTTTTTTTTTGCCAGGGGAGTCATCCAACTTTATTTTCTTTCTGTTATCTGTTTTGCAGTCATAGGGCAGGCCTCTTGTCCATCATAATTAAGCTTTGGTTCCACCCCTTGTTCAGGGCTCTGGGAGGGAAAGGAGCCATTTTTGGAGGAAGCTAAACTATAGGACATAGACCAGCTCATCCCGTAGAAAAGCTTCTTTTCTCAAGAACATCCGGGGAAACAGAAACAGAAATTCCAGGGGAAAGGTCCCAAGGCTCTGGCTGAGAGCTCACAGCCTCTCAGCCTCACAGCAATCAGAAGGAAAACAGCCCTCAAGTTTTCAAAGAATTCTCGGAGGGAGGACAGCATTACAGATCCACTGAACTCCAGCTGAAATATCTACAAACCTCAGCTGGTAGGTCTACTCGATACCCAGACACATTTGGAATCTGTAGTAGGACCCACACCGACGAGGCATAGATACTAAACAGCCTGGGAGAGGTTAAATAGGGTTTTTTCTTACAGAGAAAGTACAGTTAATCCCACAAACTAATATTACATTTTTATTTATATAGATTCTAAAGCCTTTGACTGTGTGGATCATAATAAACTGTGGCAAGTTCTTGGTGGTATGGGGAGACCAAGTCACCTTGTCTCTCTTCTGAGGATTTTGTATAAGGACGAAGTAGCAGCAGTAAGAACAGACCATGGAACAACTGGTTCAAGATGGGAAAGGAGTATGGCAGAGCTATCTACTCTCCCCCTCCCTATTCAACTTGTCTGCAGAACAACACATCATGTGATGTCTGAGACTTGACAAATCCAAGGCTGGAGTTTAAATTGCTGGAAGAAACATTAACAACCTTAGATATGCAGATGATACCACTTTGATGGGTGAAAGCGAGGAGGAGCTGAGGAGCTCATGATCAAGGTGAAAGAAGAAACGACAAAAGCTGGGTTGCAGAGAAACATAAAAAAACCAAGATGATGGCAACCAGGCTGATTGAGAACTGGCAAAATAGAAGGAGAAAACGTGGAGGCAGTGACAGACTTTGCATTGTATTGTTGAAAGCTTTCGTGGCTGGAATCACTGGGTTGTTATAGGTTTTTCAGGCTATATGGCCTTGTTCTAGAAGCATTCTCTCCTGATGTTTTGCCTGCATCTATGGCAAGCATCCTCAGAGGTTGTGAGGATCAGAGGTGGAAAGTCTCATCTTAAATTACAGTTTTATGTAAATATTCACAAAAACATTTAACCTACTGAAGCCTCAATTCATGTAATTTTATTGGGATCTATTTTTATTTTGAAATTGACCAGTAGCTGCTGCATTTCCCATCCTCAATTTATATGAGTCAATATATTTTCCCAGGTTTTTTTTGTTTTTTTGGTTTTTTTTGGTGGTAAAATTAGGTGCCTTGGCTTATATTTGGGTCAGCTTATACTCCGGTAAATACGGTAAGTCAGTTTGAAGGTTTGAAATACTGTTGTATTTGATACATGGTCTGTTGGAGCATGCAAGGAATGTGTATGTGTGTGTGTGTGTGTGTGTGTTTGTGTGTGTCAACCGCAAAATAAGATGCATGAAGCTGATTGGTCGGGCAATGCCTGGGGAGCAGGCTGAGCCTGGGACTTTTGGTTACTGTTACATTTTTGTTCAGGCTTGAGCTATGCATTTACAGAGAGAGAAGAAGAGAAGCAGATAGTGACAGAGTTTGGAGAGTGCTCTTGCTTCAATAGCTCCTGGAGGAAGATTCTCCACATGGACAAAGAAAGACTATTTTAAATCTTTCATAAAAGGACATTATGTGAGTTGATGTAACTGATCACATTGTACATATGTTGTTCTGGATTTAAGAAGAGTAAACTACTTGTTCTTGATTGTTCACCTGCATAGTATATTTTCTTTCTCTGGCAAGACAGAGTGTGGGCTGATCAAACGTGAACTACATGTGGTTTATTTTACATTATGCCCCAAATATATTCTGTGTTTAAGGAGACTCCCAGTTGACCATGCCCATCCGCAAAGGAATGATGAGCAGAGAGAGAAGGGGATGGTGGGAACCCAGCACTCATCTCAACCCGACGTTGCTCTGTGCCTCTTCTCCAGCCAGAGTCCCCTCCTCGTCTTCTTTCTTTTCCTCCTCCTCTATCACAAAAATATCTATATAAATAAAAATGTAATGTTTGTTTGTGGGATTAACAGAACTCAAAAACCAGTGGGCAAATTGACACCAAATTTGGGCAGCATACACCTAACAACCCAATGTATGTCCTTCACTCATTTTTTTTTTGATTTTGTCATTTGGGAGTTGTAGTTGCTGGGATTTATAGTTCACCTACAATCAAAGAGTTTTCTGAACTCCACCAACAATGGAATTGAACCAATTTTGGCACACAGAACTCCCATGACCAACAGAAAACACTAGAGGGCTTGGTGGGCATTGACTTTGACTTTGGGAGTTGTAGTACACTACATCCAGAGAGCACTGTGGACTCAAACAATGATGGATCTGAACCAAACTTGCCATGAATATTCCATATGCCCAACTAGGAGCACAGATGGAGCTTGGGGGAAATAGACCTTGACATTTGGGAGTTGAACTTATTGGGATTTATAGTTCACCTACAATCAAAGAGCATTCTGAAGCCCATGAACGATAGAACTGGGGCAAACTTCTCACACAGAACCCCTATGACCAAAAGAAAATACTTAAGGCCATCCAGTCCAACTCCCTTCACCAGGGCAAGAAAAAAATACTGTTTACGCACAAGCATAAAGAAATTACATATATTAGAAACCAACACTTTCTCATTACTTTATTTTCCAGATCACCAGACTGTGCCACAGCAACACGTGGCAGGGGATGGCTAGTTTGATATATAGATTTGATAAATGTGGATTTGATAATGATGTGTGGACATGAATGGAACTGAATGAAATGGGCCTAATTTGGCTGAAGACACAATTCTAAAAGACCAAGGCCTGCAAAGATTAACTGCCTGCATGCTGGACTGTAGTTCAAAGTTGCTAATGAGACCTGACAAAGTAAACTGTGATAAAAACTGTGACAGTGATAACAGAAATGTTTATGTTAAGAAGGAAGTCAACACAAGGCTAACACCAATTAAGAAGAATCAACATCTGACCAGGAAACTGAGTTGGAGTAAACATATTCCAGGATGGAAGACATCTATCATTAATATACAACTTTGGAACTAAATCAGCAGAATATTTCCTATAAAAGACTCAATCTAATAATTCTCAAGTGTGGCAGTGTGGTCTGTTCCACCTGCTATGCTCTGCTCCATGGGAAGGTAAGAGATAGTGTACATATGGAGCGCTTTTGAAATCTTGGATTTTTGTTCAGGGAGTCAGGGTTTTGGAACTATGTGTTGTCAGGCTGCAGGAAAGCAGGGTCTGGCTAAGCAGGTGCTTCTCCAAGGAGAGAGAAAAGGATATGGCAATATTTGGATGCATGGTGATAGATGCATGTACATGTATATGAATGGTTATTGAAAACGTAATTCTCCTTTGTTTGTTAGGCATATTATTGTGGATTCGATATAGTTGCATAGAATCCATATGTCCGTATGTCTAATGTCATTCTTTATGTAAAAGTGTAAAAGTTCTGTAAAAGTTTTGATCTACCCTCTCACACTGGAAATTGCGACAAAAAGAACCTATTTTTAAAGTTATTGAAAAGTTATTCATGACACCTCCTCCTTCCTCACATTGTGTTCTTTCCAGCCTTGAACCACAGGAGCCTGTGCTCACACGCCGCTTGGGCAATCCCTTGCATGCCTTGCCCGGGCAACCTGGGCACAGCATAGTCATCCAGGCCCGGACTGTAGGGGTATTCATGGCCCACGGGATCCTCAGCGGTGGCCCGCAGCTTCCAGGCCTCTCCTGTGATCTCCTGGGGCTCGTCGTAAACCACGGGGGGTGGGACCTCTGGGTCATCGTATACCTGCTCTGATGCAAGGCTGGCAGGAGCCAAACCTAGCCTCTGCATCCTGCCAAGCAAAAGAGAGGGCCTGGGTGCCTGCAGGGTCCGACTGGCGCTACTGTTTCCCGGTGGCTGAGAAGTGGCATCAAAAGGCTCCTCTGAGTCATCTGCTGTCATCTTTTCTGGCCCTTCCAATGCACTTGATCCACTCTGGGGATCCTGCTTGGAGCATGAACCAGGTCTGGGTGGGACCTTTTTGGAGCAGGTGGGCAGAAGACAACCGCCAACAGGTGAGACCGGGCTGCCCTTTCCTGGCTTCCCTTTCAAGATGGACTCCAAGGTACGGATCATGCTGATGCCAGTGACTTGAGAGGTCAGTGGTGCCCCTTTGTCCTGTGCTACGACTCCAGTCTTCCTGTTTCCTCCTTCAGAACTGGGCAGGTTGAAGGCCCTGGAAGAAAGGGTGACGCTTCTGGGCGGCCCAGCAGAGGCCTCCCAAGTTGGGTCATTCAACATGGAACTCTTTTGCTTTTCGATGGCACCTTCAATGAGCTGGACAATCTCCTTGCCCTGTGGAGTGACAAACTCAAAGTTTCCCTCGCCAGAAGAGCACCTCCGTCCAGCCTCAAAGGAGAAGATGGTCTGGAAAATGAAACACAGAGGGACGCAGAGTCAGGCACAGCGACAGGAGCCCAGTCGTACGCTGCAAAACATATTGGGCCTCCTTGGGTAAATTCCAGCAACGGTGGGCAGGGTCATGGAGAGAACAGCATTGGAGACATTGTTAGGCCTCCCCAGGGCTAGGATACGGAACAAAATATCACACGTGTGTACTTCTATGTACACAAATGTACATGCAGATGCGTGTTGTCTCTCAGGCCTGCCTCCTCCCTTTCACATGTCTGTAACACTGGAAGAAGCACATAGGTAGATAGGGATGCATTCTGAAAAATGCAGGTATCCCAGAAAAGGTAAATGTTTCCCCTGACATTAAGTCTAGTCGTGTTCAACTCTGGGGGTTGGTGCTCATCTCAATTTTCAAGCCAAAGAGCCGGTGTTGTCCGTAGACACCTCCAAGGTCATAAGGCTGGCATGACTGCATGGAAGACCGTTACCTTCCCGTAGAAGGTACCCCAATTTCTCTCATTTCTACACAAACAAAGCTGGTTTAGCAAGACAGGAGAAGGAACAGTTCTAGGTCTGCCCGGCCCCTGTGCATGTCCTGCAGTCTCCCTGTTGTGATGCAGTCTCAACTGGGCAGACAGGTGAGCAGAACAACAAGCAGGTAATGGGGGGAGGAGGCAGAAACAGTATTGGAGATGGTGGCATAGATAAGAGAATTAGAAATGCCAGTTTGGGGAAGGAGAGACTAGTGACATGGAGATGGAGCAGGCCTTGGCAAGAGAGCCACCTGCCAAGTGTCCTCAGAGCCAGTTGGAAAGCACCAAAGGTCAAAGTAGGGCTGAATCCCTTTAGACAGTGGCATCTCCCTTGACTTCTGCAGAGACCTCCAGGGCGAACACACCCAGCTGCCCACACCCCTCCCCAAGTCATACCTTATCATGGCCAAATCTGCGCAGGAACCTGTAAGGCCAGGTTTGGAGGACGCTGCCCCCCTGGATGCCACACAGGTCCAGGGCCTCTGCTTGAGCAGAGAGAAGGAACCTGCCCCACAGCTGAATGCTTTCAGAGGCTGGCGTAGCCCTGACTGTCACGGGAAAGGTCTTCCTCTCTCCTGTCGGGAAACAGATTAGGAGGGAAATCTCTGCACATTCTGGCACACAGGTATGTCCAAGTCTCCTCCTGGTGTCTGTACAGGGTCTCCAAAAAGGAGGAGACACTCCTCCTGGGGTCAGGCTTTGCTTAATAATACTGTAGGAGTCTCACTTATCAGACATAAACGGGCCGGCAGAATGTCGGATAAATGAAAATGTCGGATAATAGGGAGTCTCCTGTTAGCCACCCAACGTGGCGCTAGACACCTAGAATACTACCAACYGAGACTCAAAGGATTAAGGAAAGACAATTCCTCGGGGATAGAGTGACCCAGCAGGAAGTGCCCGGATGCGGAAGAGGAGCATGGAAATCACAGAGGGAAGGGGGGGGGGAGGCTTCCYCTTCCGGTCCTGCCTCTTTTCTGACCAGGAGGACCTCTGTCTTGTCTGGATTAAGCCTCAGCTTGTTGACCCTCATCCAATCTGCCACAGCTGCAAGGCACTGGTTTAGGATGCGAGGAGCTTCCTGGAATTAGGTGGAAAAGAGTAGAAGAGTTGTGTGTCATCTGCGTAGAAATGGCACCCAACTCTAAAACTCTGGATGACTTCGCTGAGCAGTTTCATGGAGATATTAAAAAGCATGGGGGGGGGGATGGAACTTTGGGGGACCCCACAGGTCAATGGCCAGGGTTCTGAGCAGGTATCCTCCAGCATCACCATCTGGGTACGATCCTCCAGGAAGGTGTCCCCAAAACCTATTCCAGAGAGCCAACTCAGAAGGATACCATGGTATCAAAAGCTGCTGAGATGTCCAAGAGAACTAACAAAGATACACTCCTGCTATCTAGTCCTCTATGGAGGTCATCCACCAAGGTGACCAATATCTCAGTTCCATGACAAGACCTAAAACCAGGCTGTGGCGGATTAAGATAATCGGTGTCATCCAAGAACCCCTGGAGCCAAGAAGCCACCACCCGCTCCAGAACCTTGCTTACCAAGTTGTGGGGCTGGATCAAAGGGGGCCAGGGGAGGTGGGTGCAAGCAAAAAAGGAGCGGAAGAAGGGTAAGGGGTGATAAGTACTGGCTGAGCATGAGGCGCAGAGGCCACCACTTATCTGCAGGAGGAGGCTTTGTCTTGTAAAGCCACAAGGCAGGAAGCGGTCAAGTGAAGTCGGCTGCAAAAGATGGGTCTCTGGGCTGCTTTGGCCAAAGAACATTGCTTGGCTCAGGCAGGAAAGAGGACCAGCACCTCACGCCTGGCCTTTGCAACCACACTTTTGAGAGGGGCAGGGAGGGGAGAGGTTTTGAAATTACTCAAAGGCACACAACCATAACAAGAATAATACTTGTTAATACTCATGAGATATCCATGGGAAAGACAACAATGGCTGGTAAAAGGGACAGCAGTAGGGAAAGATGGAGACCCCATTCCAGATGGAAGGACTCTAGTAAGGGAGCCATGGATGGTGATGTCAGGGTGTTTGGAGGTCTCTCATCGGTCAGGCCTTTGACCTCAGCAACTGACCAAAACGGTGGCACCTTGCCTTGGAACACTGGGGTGGAGGCTCAATGGTCCAGGACATCAAATACGTGACCCCTGATATTGAAGAGAGATGGCCCACATCCCTTCCCTCTCTATGACCCTCCCCTCCAACCCCCAATCGCTGGTGCCCCTCCTCTCCTACCTTTGCAGGTTGGGCTGTACAGAGGATTCTCCACCATGGAAAGGGAAGAAGGGGAAGGGGAAGAGGGAGGCTTGCCTTCCAGTCCGTCCTTCTCCAACTCGCTATTCCTCTGGAAACCAAGGGGAAGAAGAAGGTCTCCTATTAGTCGACAGCTGCCCAGGGCCTGGCTAGTTGACCTGAGAACCTGGCTACATTCTCTGCATTGTCAACACCTCTTTAGAGGCTACCTTTGAGGAACTGCCCATAAGAGAATAGCAGCCCTTCTGGGTTGGACAGGTAGACTTGAGTGGCTTGTGAATCTCATTTGCTGTTTTCAAAGCTTCACCCACTTTTACTTGGAGGTCAGTCTTCAGTGGCTCCAGGCTATGAGAGAATGCCCCTTCTCCTTTTTGCACCCCTCCATTCTCTGTGGGCCAAGCGACCCCTTAGTTGCCACCTTACCTTAAAGGCATGTTCACATAGTGCCAGGATCCAGGCTGCTGCCTCAGTGCTCTCAGCTGCCAGAAGATAGCACTTCTCGGTGGTCTCCAGGAGGAAGGGGGTGGTCTCCTTAAGGCAGCCGTCATCTTTGGTTGTCTCGGCCACATAGACACAGTCTCTCAGGTGGATCAGGCGCCGGCTGCTGGTCTCCTTCTTCTTGGTTTTCCCTGCAGATGGAGGCAGTGTGCATCCGAGGAGCTCCAGGCGGGACGAAGCACAGCTGCTCCCCCGGTACAAGACGCCCCAGAACTTCCGCCATTTCTGGGGAGACAAAAAAGTCAACCAAGTTTCTACATGGAAATGCCCCTTGGTTCACACAGCATCTCACAGACTGGAGGAGAGGAGACTGAAGACATGGCATGCAAGTTATCTTTAAATATCTGAAGAGGCGTGAGCTTGTTTTCTACTACTCCGAAGACTAGCAATGCATCTACACTGTAAAATGAATGCAGTTTGACATCACTTTACCATGACTCAGTGCTATGGAATATAAAGCTATTGTCCTCCCAACCCTGCTATACGCCTGTGAAATGTGGACTCCTGGAACGATTCCATCATTGTTGCCTCCGAAAAATCCTGCAAATCTCTTGGGAAGACAGGCAGACAAATGTCAGTGTGCTGGAAGACACAATGACCACTAGCACTGAAGTGATGCTCCTACGCCATCAACTCTGCTGGACTGGCCACGTTGTCCAAATGCCCAATCACTGTCCCCCAATGCAGTTACTATACTCCCAACTCAAGAATAGAAAACGGAATGCTGGTGGACAGAAAAAGAGATTTAAAGATGGGCTTAAAGCTAACCACAAAAACTGTGGCATAGACATTGGGAAGTGGGAAGCCCTGTCCCTTGAACGCTCTAACTGGAGGTCAGCTGTGACTAGCGGTGCTGTGTAATTTGAAGAGGCACAAATGGAGGGTGAAAGGGAGAAACGTGCTAAGAGAAAGAAGGTGTTAGAGCATGTAAAAAAATCAGTTGGTCAGTGTGTTAACTGAAAATGCAGAGCACAAAGCCAATTGGATGGGCTATGCCCAGGATACTAGCTGAGCCTGGGAGTTTTGGCAACAGTTACATTTTAGGCTTTAGCTGTGCAGGATCTAGCAGAGAGACAGTTTCAATTCTTGCTTCATGAGCTGCTAGAAGAAGATCTCCTACATGGATACCTAAATACCATTTGAATCTGTCTCAAATGACATTGTGTGAGTCAATGCAACTGTTCACATGATTTGTATATATATTGCTCTGCATTACAAAGAGTAAAATTCTGCGTGGCATATTTTTCTTTCTCTGGCAAGACAGTGTGCGGACTGGTAAAACGTAAATTATACATGATTTTCATACCACCACAGAAGGCACATCAAGCCAACCCTGACTGGGACAGCCTTCCACCTGGAAACCGATGCCTTCAATATGGAAGAACATACAGATCAAGAATAGGGCTCCACTGTCACCTATGTATCCAATACCAAGACACTATATTTAGAAGGCCATCATACTCAGACAATGAGGACAACATGGAATCCTGGGAGTTGTGGTTTTGCAAGGTTTTCTAGCTTTCTCTGTCAAAAAGTGGCAAGTAGGAGTGGCTCCTAGGATACCATAAACTTGAGCCATGCAATCAAAATGGTGTCTGTTGCATTAATTCTACTATGTAGATGAACCCTAGAACATCACCAATGGATTCCAATTACAGGAAAAGGAATTCCAGCATGAGGCATGGAATTTGAGCCAACACAACTTTGTGACTATCTTAGCAAAGGACGATGGAGCCCAATGCATCATCCCTTTAAGAAACTCCCAACAAAAGCCTTAACCCTCAACTTTGGGCCTTACCTTCCCAAAGGTCTGCTGCTGGTACATGTAGAGGAAGCCCTTCTTCACCACGGCTTCTTCCATCATTGAGCACAAGGCAAGAGGTCCACTTGGCAAGAGCCTCTTTGTCCAGTTCTTCTCGGGAGTTTTCTCTCCCGCTCTCTGCTTTTGCCAATTGTGTGCTCATTGGTGCTCAAAAACATCTCTCGCTCACTTTTCTACCCTTTCAAGAAAGCACGCTAAGTCAGCTTCCTGTGGTTGTAACCTCACCCAAAAGGACAAAACCAGCTTAAACTGGTCCCTGCAGAAACACAAGCATAAAGTTCCACAGAGAAAGGTGTGGATCTTTGGAAACTATATATCCCAGGACTGTGTAGCATGGAGCTATGATATGGGCACCAACTGCATTCATTCTATAGTGTAGATAAACCCAGAGAAGGGGATGGACCTCAGGAAACTACAACTCTCAGGAGGACTCAATCACACTGAGCAATGGCATTTAAATTGGGGTCCAAGAGCATTAATTCCATAGTGTAAATGCACCAAAAGAATGGTATAGACCTTGGGAAACAATAACTTCCAGGAGGACTCCATCTCACAGAGACATAGCATTTAAAGTGGGGTCCAGCTGCATTCATTTCACAGTGTACATGCACCCAGAGAAGGTTCATGGACCTTGAGAAACTGCAATTCCCAAGACCATCTCATGGAGACATGGCATTTAAAGTAAGGTCCAACTGCATTCATTCCACAGTGTAGATGCACCCAGAGAAGGGTATGGACCTTGGGACCTTGGAAAACTGTAACTCCCAGGAGGACGCCATCACATGGAGCCATGTAATAGAATCATAGAATCAAAGAGTTGGAAGAGACCTCATGGGCCATCCAGTCCAACCCCCTGCCAAGAAGCAGGAATATTGCATTCAAATCACCCCTGACAGATGGCCATCCAGCCTTTGTTTAAAAGCTTCCAAAGAAGGAGCCTCCACCACACTCCAGGGCAGAGAGTTCCACTGTTGAATGGCTCTCACAGTCAGGAAGTTCTTCCTCGTGTTCAGATGGAATCTCCTCTCTTGTAGTTTGAAGCCATTGTTCCGCGTCCTAGTCTCCAGGGAAGCAGAAAACAAGCTTGCTCCCTCCTCCCTGTGGCTTCCTCTCACATATTTATACATGGCTATCATATCTCCTCTCAGCCTTCTCTTCTGTCATTTAAAGTGGAGTGCAAGGGCATTCATTCCATATTGTAAATGCACCAAGAGACATCTTGGAAAACTATGATTCCCAAGACTTCACAGGCTATTTTTAAAAAATAAATTTTTCTGGCAAAGTAAAAACTCAGTAAGCAAAAACAAATGGTGGAACTTTCCCTAACAAGGGAACTTTTGGCTCCACAATTTCCCATTCCCACAAATTGGGAAAACATTTCATTTTAAACCTGAGAGCAATGAATGCCATCACATTACAGAACTGGCCAAACATCCAGAACATTACCAAAAATCTACTTCTCCACCACCTCCTGAACCATTTGAAAAGAATGCTGGCTCCCACACTTAAAATACGTAAAGAATGCTCTATCCTACACGTGAAACCAACCTAATGTGATGAACACATTCGTTTTCCACATTTTAAGTGTAGCACTCAGTGGAATTTAGTAAATGTGATGAAGTGGAAAATGCTGCAGTAAAACACTGAAGAAAATGTAAGCATGTGAGGGATGCACACAGACTTCAAGTGCTCTGAAGAATAGTTCATTTTCTGCTGGGACTGATTTGGAGCCAATCTGTTTCAAACTGGCCTGAAATTCAGAAATGATTAGGTCTGTTCCTCTCACATCTGGATTTCTGTCTTTTGTTTTTAAAGGAATTTAAACAATTTATTCTATCATTCAGCTACATTTTAAAACAACTTCTATATATTTTACTCTGGTTTTATTGACTTTGAAGGAATGCTTGCTTTCCTTGATGAAGTATGTTATGCAATGATGAAATGATCCAGGACAATGGTTAGATTATCTAATAAAGAGTCTGAGAAAGTTATGTTTTTGCACTAAAGTTCTCAGAATATGCCAATTGAAATAAAAACTCCATAAATATGAGGAAAACACTTCATCTTACAATTAACAATGTCATGCCAAATCCAAGTATCTCTGGATTTTTTTTGTAGTTTTTGGTGAAATAGAATAAAAGTGGATACTGCATTGTGCAGAATCCCCCCACACCCCATCCCCAGAAGTCTGAGTGCAACTGAGGTCCCTTCCTCACTGCCATACAAACCAGATTATAGCAGATAATTCAGTTCAAAGCAGATAATGTCAGTTTTACATGGCAATGTGGAAGGGGTTTCATCTAATCCAGTTCAAAGCAAATAACATGGTTTTCATATGGCTGTGGCGCAGTGGGTTAAACCCTTGTGCCGGCAGTACTGAAGACCGACAGGTTGCAGGTTCGAATCCGGGGAGTGGCGGATGAGCTCCCTCTATCAACTCCAGCTCCTCATGCAGGGACATGAGAAAAGCCTCCCACAAGGATGATAAAAACATAAAATCATCTAGGCGTCCTCTGGGCAACGTCCTTGCAGACAGCCAATTCTCTTACACCAGAAGCAACTTGCAGTTTCTCAAGTCACTGCTGACAGGACAGATATATATATATATATAGAGAGAGAGAGAGAGAGAGAGAGAGATAGAGCTGTGTGGAAGATCCCCTTCCACACAGCTGTATAAAATCCACATTGAACTGGATTATATGGCAGTGTGGACTCAGATAATCCAGCTCAAAATAGATATTGTGGATTATCTGCCTTGACATTCCGGGTTAAATGGCTGTGTGGAAGGACCCTCATATAATCCAGCTCAGAGCAGATAATGTGGATTTTATATGATAGTGGAGGGGCCCTTCGAAGGGGCCTCATATTAAGGCAGAAGATACACAGTTATATAAAATCAGCACTGAAATGGATTATGTAGCAGTGTGGACTCAGTTCAAAGCAGATGTTGTGGATTAGCTGCCTTGACATTCTGGGTTAAATGGCTGTGTGGAAGGACCCTCATATAATCCAGTTCAGAGCAGATAATGTGGATTTTATATGACAGTGGAAGGGGCCTCATATAATCCAGTTCAAAGGGGATGTGGATTTTTATTGCAGTTTAGGCCCCTTCCACACAGGGGGGCCTAAACTGCAATAAAAATCCACATCCTCTTTGAGGAGCAGGGCCTTCTCGGTGGTGGCCCCTCACCTGTGGAACTCACTCCGGGAAATTAGGGCATCAACATCCCTCCTCTCCTTCAGGAGGAAAGTAAAGACGTGGTTGTGGGACCAGGCCTTTGGGCAATCTGACAACTAGATAAGGACAATCAAACGACTAGGACTGACAGGACTGACAATGTGGAATTGGAAATTGGACTATGAGATAGCGAATGCTGACCGTCTATGAGGAGTAATTGGGATTGTATTGTTTTATTGGTTTTAGGATTGTAATGCAGGAATTGTTGTTTAACTGTTCAACTGTTTTAACTGTTTAATTGATGTTATTTTATTTTACTACTGTTATGTGATGCTGGCATCGAATTGTGCCTTTGTAAGCCGCCCTGAGTCCCCTGGGGTGAGAAGGGCTGGGTAGAAGAAACCAAAATACATATATATATATATATAAGCAGATAATGTGGATTATATGGCAGTGTGGACTCAGATAACCCAGTTCAAAACAGATAATGTGGATTATATGGCAGTGTGGACTCAGATAACCCAGTTCAAAGCAGATGTTGTGGATTATCTGCCTTGACATTCTTGGTTATATTGCTGCGTGGAAGGGCCCTTCGAAGGGGCCTCATATAATCCAGTTCAAAGCAGATAATGTGGATTATATGGCAGTGTGGACTCAGATAACCCAGTTCAAAACAGATAATGTGGATTATATGGCAGTGTGGACTCAGATAACCCAGTTCAAAGCAGATGTTGTGGATTATCTGCCTTGACATTCTTGGTTATATTGCTGCGTGGAAGGGCCCTTCGAAGGGGCCTCATATAATCCAGTTCAAAGCAGATAATGTGAATTATATGGCAGTGTAGAAAGGGTTTGCTCCTGGCTCAACAGTCCCAGGGAGGGCCTTAAAAGCTCCAGCCCTTTCCAAAGGAGGTCCAACTGGAGAGACCTCCTCCCACCCCTTTCTCGCACGAAACCGTGGCGCGTCCCCTTTAAGAACCATGTAAACAAAGCCCCGCTCCTCTCCCTCCCTCCTCTGGCGCCCACGAGCGCGCACGTGTGTGACGTCACCTCCGAGCGCCGGCCTCTCCCTCCGCCATTCACTAAAAGCCCATGCGGCGGCGCCGGCCTTCCTCGCTCGCCCTATCAGCGCCGCTTACGCCAATTGCGTGGGGGAGGCGGGCGCCACTGCGCAGGCGCGGCAGCCTCGGCTTGGGGGCAGGCCGCAACGGCGGCGAGAGCGAGCGAGCGAGAGCAGAACATGAATGGAGCAAAATGGCGGATCATGTGCAGGTGAGGCGGCGAGGGAGGCGGGCGAGGCGAAGCGGGAAAGGGGCCGCCTCGCGGGGAAGGCCCAGGCCGGAGCCCGGCGCTGGCGGGGAGGCCTCGCCCAGGGAAGGCGGCCTGGAGGACTGGGCCTGCCGCCTCTAGGAAGAGCGCCAGGCCGAGGTAAAGGGGCGCCTGGCTGTCCTGGAGCCCGGGCCGAAGCGGCAGGAAAGTCCCCAGGCCTTGGGGCCCGTGTAGATCCCGCTCTGCTACTTCACGTGTCCCGTTTGCGTCTGGATGCACCCATCTCCCGTGTTTCAGGAGGCATTGCTTTTGAACCTGGTTGTGTAACAAATTGCTGAAACTCCCTCTTGGGGATATATAACCCACAGCCATATAACCCAGAATAACAAGGCAGAAAATAATTAATATATATATATAAGAATCAAAGAGTTGGAAGAGACCTCATGGGCCATCCAGTCCAACCCCCTGCCAAGAAGCAGGAATATTGCATTCAAATCATCCCTGACAGATGGCCATCCAGCCCCTGTTTAAAAGCTTCCAAAGAAGGAGCCTCCACCACACTCCAGATCAGAGAGTTCCACTGCTGAACGGCTCTCACAGTCAGGAAGTTCTTCCTCATGTTCAGATGGAATCTCCTCTCTTGTAGTTTGAAGCCATTGTTCCGCGTCCTAGTCTCCAGGAAGCAGAAAAACAAGCTTGCTCCCTCCTCCCTGTGGCTTCCTCTCACATATTTATACATGGCTATCATATCTCCTCTCAGCCTTCTCTTCTTCAGGCTAAACATGCCCAGCTCCTTAAGCTGCTCCTCATAGGGCTTGTTCTCCAGACCTTTGATCATTTTAGTCACCCTCCTCTGGACACATTCCAGCTTGTCAATATCTCTCTTGAATTTTGGTGCCCGTAATTGGACACAATATTCCAAATGTGGTCTAGAATAGAGGGGTAGCATTACTTAATGTTCTGTGCGTAACGAGTACCTTAAAAATAAAAGAACCAATGAATGAAATAACAGCAAATTTGGCAACAAAACATCTCACAACACAAGGAGTGACCATCACTCAAAACATTATGATTTTGTCATTTGAGAGTTGTAGTTGCTGGGATTTATAGTTCACCTAAATTAAAGAGCTTATGAACTCCACCAACGATGGAATTGAACCAAACTTGGCACACAGGACTCTTCTGACCAACAGAAAACACTAGAAGCATTTGGTGGGCATTGAACTAGAGCAGTGGTTCTCAACCTGTGGGTCCCCAGATGTTTTGGCCTACAACTCTCAGAAATCCCAGCCAGTTTACCACCTGTTAGGACTTCTGGGAGTTGAAGGCCAAAAACATCTGGGGACCCCAGGTTGAGAACCACTGAACTAGAGTTTTGGAGCTGTAGTTCACCTACATCTAGGGAGCACTGTGGACTCAAACAGTGAAGGGTCTGGACCAAACTTGGCATAAATACTCAATATAGCCCAAATATAAACACAGATGGAGTTTGGGGGAAATAGACCTTGACATTTGGGAGTTGTAGTTACTGGGATTTATAGTTCACCTACAATCAAGGAGCATTCTGAATCCCACCAATGACAGAATTGGGGCAAACATCCCACACAGAACTCTAATGTCCAACAGTGTTTTCTGGTGGTCTTTGGTGACCCTTCTGACACCCCCCTTGTGACCCCCCCCCCCCGGGTCTTGACTTCCCAGGTTGAGAAATGCTGCCTTGAGGCCATCCAGTCCAATTCCCTTCACCAGGGCAAGAAAACATAATCAAAGCCCTCCTGACAAAGAGCCATTCAGCCATTCACACACACACACATGTATATGACAGATGCAATATCAAAGATTTGAAAGAAGAACAATGATATGTTGCATGTCCAGAGTAGGCAAACCAGACAATCTCCACATCAACACTGGCAAAGAAACAGCAAGAAATACAGTTGATCCACAAACATAAAGACATGACATATATTAGAAACCAACACTTTCTTATTAGATCACCAGACTGGGCCACAGCAACGCGTGGCAGGGGACTGCTAGTAATGATAAACCTTTATTTATACCCAGCCACTATCTCCTCAAGGGACTCGGAGCAGCTTACATGAGGCCATGCCCAACTACATCAATAAAATCAATAAATACAATACAATTAAAATAAATCACATATAAACAATAACCAATAAACAGTAGCACATAAAGAATTAAAAAACCTATGGCCAGGCCAAATGTAAAAGTTTAAAATTAAAAAATAAACACTGGGCATGAACAAGGTAGGATATAACTAGTATAGGGTTTTCAAAGAGAGATGAGGGGAACGCAGTAAATCCTAAACCAGTAGTAAATCAGTAGTAAAGTGCATCCCGCAGTATCGGCTTTGAAATTGATAGTATGGCAATGTAGACGCAGGGCCCTTCCACACAGCCATATAATCCTGGCCACTACCACACAGCTGAATAAAACCCCACATTTTCTGCTTCGAACTGGAATATATGCCAGCGTGGGCTTGGGTAACCCAATTCAAAGCAAATATTGTGGGACTTTCTACCTCAATATTCTGGGTTATATGGCTGTGTGGAAGAGTTCTAAATGCACCCATCTCCCGTGTTTACTGTTCTTGTCAAAACAGTGTTTCCTGTTTCTTGTCAAAACAGTGCACAATTTCCACAGAAAGGAGAAAACCATGAAAATGAACAAAATCTGGCTACCAATGTTAAGAAAAACACTAAAATTAGAATAGTGAATAAAGAGCAAGGCTCAAAAAGCAGGAGAATTCCAGACAAGAATCAATCAGGGCCAGCTAACATCCCAACAAAGGATTTCCCCAGGCAGCAACAAGCCAGGCCTTAAAACTGCAGACCATAAAATGCTAAGCAAGGTGGCAAATTTCTCCCACCCTGGACATCATTCCACAGGTATATATACAGTCCGCTTGCTTCGTTTCCAAAAGACCTCTTTGCAGATCCTCTCACTATTGACTTTGCTTCAAGGCTATTCAGTGCTGTCTATCTATCTATCTGGACATTCCACAGATAGATAGATATCCCACTTGCCTAGTTTCCAACAGAGCTCACAACCTCTGAGCATGCCTGCCATAGATTTGGGTGAAACATCAGGAGAGAATCCTTCTCGAACATGGCCATACAGCCTGGAAAACTCACAGTGCTTCCTTTCCCAAGTGTAAAGGAGCGTCTCCCCTTTGGAATGAGTGTAGTTTGACCCCACTTTAACTGTCAAGGCTCAGTGCTGAGAGTTGCAATTTTGTGAGATATTTACTCTTCCTTGGGTGCATTTGAGGAAGAAGGAAGCAACCTGTGGCATCACTACCTGATTTATGAGCAGGCAAGGAGTATTGCTTTTAATTAGCCCCTTTGTGTCTCATTTTTAGAAAGATAAAGCTGCATACTACTGCTGCTACTGTTATTACTACTACTACTGTTTTCCAATTACCTTTGATTCCATGGTTGCTGGATGAAGCCAGAATGTACCTTTAATTCTATACTTCCTTCAGGAAGAGAAACAATTTTATGTTCAGCTTCTCATGGCATTTAATGTTTGCTGATATCTGTTGTAAGCCGCCCTGAGTCCCCTCACGGAGATAGGGCGGGATATAAATAGCTTTTTATTATTATGATCTACACTAGGCCTGGGCCAATTAGGGCCCTCCCTCCAAGGATTTTGGACTCCCAAATCCCACAATTCCTAACAGCCTACCAGATGTTAGGCATTGTGGGAGTAATAACAATAATAATAATAATACTTTATTTTTAACCTGCCCTCTCTCCTTGAGGGGACTCAGGGCGGCTTCCACTAACACATTCAGCAGTTAAAATCTGTATAAAATATGTAAAAAAAAATATAAAATGTGGCTCTCCTATAAGTTAAGAGGTTTCAGAATTTGAGTCCAAAATACCTGGAGGAAGGGCCCAAGTTGGCCCAGGCCTAATCTACACCATAGAATGAAATGCAGTTTGACACTGCTCTAACTACCAGGGGTCAGTGTTGTGAGAATTTTGTTTTTAAAATATAACAATGAGTCTTGAGCCTTCACTGACAAAGAGTGTTTGTTTCCTCACTAAACGACAGATACCATAGAAGTAAATGCCTTCCCCAGCACACGTCACAAAAACAACACACCCATTCCTCCACACTCCCACCACCACCGCACAGCCCTCAATGCCAACTCAATGCCAGGCCATGCAGGTCAACGTAGCCACAGCTCTAGGATAAAATCTCTCTCGGGGCCCTTCTACACAGCCCTATAACCCAGAATATTGAGGCAGAAAATCCCACAATATCTGCTTTGAACTGGGATATATGGCAGTGTGGACTCAGATGACCTAGTGCAAAGCAGATATTGTGGGATTTTCTGCCTTGATATTCTGGGATATAGGGGTGTGTGGAAGGGCCCCAGTTCAAAGCAGATATTGTGGGATTTTCTTCCTTGATAGTCTGGGTTATATGGCTGTGTGGAAGAGCCCTGAGTTATCTGAGTCCATACTGCCATATATTCCAATTCAAAGCAGATAATGTGGGATATTATTCGGCTGTGTGGAAGGGGCCCCAGAATATCAAGGCAGATAATCCACAATATCTGCTTTAAACTAGGGCCCCTACCACACAGCTCTTTATTCCATAATATTAAGGCAGAAAATCCCACATTATCCGTGTGTGGATTCAGATAACCCAGTTCAAAGCAGATACTGTGGGATTTCCTGTCTTGATATTCTGAGATAGATGGCTGTGTGGAAAGGCCCTAGGTTATCTGAGGGCCCTTCCACACAGCCCTATATCTCAGAATATAAAGTTATCCTTTGAACCACCTTCCTATCTGCCACTGTGCAGTCACCAAACCATCCAGGAACTGAGTGAATATGACAATCCAAGATCTGAAACAATGCTTCCTTACACAAGTCCAAGGGAGCACCTTCTCTTTGGAATGAGTGCACTTTGACCCCACAAGATTCAATGCTATCACATTTCTGGGAGTTTCAGTTTGGCGAGATATTTAC